AAAGAGTGTAAGTAGGTCAGAGATAAAGGTGGCATGAAGCAAGCCACAAGCAAAGAGGAGCTATAAAGAGTTAAAAGGGATATCACAAGCTCTGTAGTCATTCTGCTCCATGGATTGGAAACAGATACTCTTGCCCCTCCCCGCTCCCACCACACACACACAAAATAAATATTTTACTTTGCTGTCAAAAATCAATAAACAGTCTGCAGATAGAGAACTCGCTGGCCAAAGCAAAGGTTCTCCCACACCAGCCATAAGGACTATGTATTATAATTACCCATATGCCACCTTGAGTTCACCACTTCCTACCGATGACACAGGAGAAATTATACAAGAATATAAAGTTCCCACTACAAGGACAATAGAGTAAGTTAAATAAAATAGTTACCTTTTATGGTTCACTTTAATCAGACCATCTTGCTTATTAACAAGGGTTCCTAACATCCACCTTTGTTTGTTTCTTATACTAAAATACAGTAAAACAGTGTTAAAGCCACACAGTATAAACATGAGTTCACAGCCCATTGAACGGCCACTTAGGAAACCTGCTGAGGTCACTGTGACCCAGGAAACTGTGGAATCAGATGCAGCCAGTTTGAGATAAGCTATTGCAGTTTTCTTTGGACAAAGCTAAAATGAAGCTTTGGCCTTCCTCCTGATGGAAGAGTGATAAGGAGCTTGTGGGAGTCCCTGTGTGTGCTGCGCGGTGGCAGCTCCACCTCAGAGACTAGACTAGGCTAGGAGATATGGAATTCACATCTATGTTTAAAGACTGAATCCACATGAAAGCTAATCTTTAGTGTCTTTGTTCCACATTCAGACAACAAGGTGGAAAGAAAGACAAAAACTAATTAAAAGAAGAAAGCGGTTACTACATTTTTGAGGTATTTGTACTGTTGAATATTTCCATTTGATGATGCTTTTTACTTTGAGTGATTTTTATTCCATTATATTTATTTAATAACTTCAGTGACTTTTCAAATTATAAACAAGACTAGATTCCCAGTGGTATGTCAAATTATAATTATTACATTCAAAATATATAATCATCAAAACAGCATGTAAGGTAGTTAAAATTAGGGTCACCTTTACCTGTTTAAAGTGGTAAACAATAATGCATCAATAATTTATAACCCAGTACTACAATATACACTGCTCAAAAAAATAAAAGGAACACAAAAATAAGACATTCAACTATGTTGTGTTCCCTTTATCTTTTTGAGTAGTATATATTGTGAAATGTGCCATTCTGCACAATGAGTCCTTTTACTTTTGGTACTTCAAGTATATTTTGATGGTAATATATTTGCACTTTTATGCAAGTAAAATTTTGAATATTACTTGTAACATTTTTTACATTGTGTTACTTCCAATTTCTACTTATTAATATGAATACTACTTTTACCACTGTGTATACTCAATGAATATCCAGAGTACATTTCATGTACATTTTCTTGAATAAAAGTAGCTAATAGATGTCTAGACTACAAGTTACAACCACAACAAATAAAGATTATTTAGAGTAAAACAAACAAATATTACAAAGAAATAGACAACTTATATAAAATGAACAATTGATGTAATGGTATTTGTGGTAAACATGTTGTAAAAGTTCATTAGAACAGTGGCCTTGGTTGTTCCTCTTAGAGCTGCTTGCTCACACTTCCCTTTATACAACAGCACCTTGCTGTATTTCCTGTCTGAATGTTCTTTCCTCCTCATGCACACACTTCAGTTCCTCTCTGGGCTACCACTATCAGCAGTTGCCACTACACCCTCCTTGCTGTACTGGCCTATCTATGACAGCAGACAACACACGAAGCAAAAAGGCAAGCAAAGAAGGAGGGAACAATCAGCAAGGTTGTGGAAGGGAGAGGGGCACCATCTGTACATTTAAGTTTCACAGCACCACAGCTTAGTTGTCTGAAAGGAAACAGCAGTGGTACTTAAATTTGTAACACAAGATGTTTTAAGAACAACTCTGTAATAAACCATTTTATTAAAGAAGGTTGACAGACACTGTCTGGTGCTGCTCTTGACTTGATTAAATGATTTGTGTGACTGGACACTGTTCAGGCTCATCCAGGAACAGCGTCTGGAACATGTGGTTGTAGAAGGACGGGTGGTACAGGCAGGCCCGGGTACAGTCTGGGCTGAAGTTCAACTCCAAAATCTGAGGCTGCATGACCCGCTCACCTAACCCAGGATAAGAACATAAATGTTAGTGTGCTATACAAAGACATTCACAGGTGAAAGTAGCTACTCTTTTACAATATACTGGTATTAGAACTGCAAAAATTAACTAACTCTTTAAGTGCTTAGTTTATATAAGAAAATAGCCAAAGGAACATTTATTGTTTGCATGCTGGGGAATGTCCTTTTGTGTTGGTTTGTGTTACAATGGTAGTGTTTAATAGTTGTAATAGCAGAAATACAATAAATGAGAGTGCAACAGAAGGTGAACTTGTTCAGGTTTTGTTGTACTTCAGTCTTATCCTGTTCATCACAACTAAATGCCATTACCCCTAATTTAAACCTAATTCTACCCCTTAACTCTAAATCCAAGTCTTAACCCTCAAAGAGCCATATGAAGTCAAAGTGAGGACTGGCCAAAATGTCCTCACTCCCAGGGTATAAAACCCAGAGTGGTTCTCGCAATGTATAATGTAGTAGCCAAGGTCAAATTTGTAGTTGTTAGGATCTGATACAAACTAAATTCATTCAGACAAATAAGCCCAATTTAAATAATCATTTAATATTACAATTATTCTGAACAGAGTAGTAGTTAATCTGGTAGTTAGATAGGTCATCTGGTAGTTACTCCTCCTGCAATGGAATACATAAAGTATTAAATAAGAAGATTGTCACAGAGTTGGTCAGTGTTGGTCACAGGGTACAGTCAGAGTCCAGAGTCAGGTCCAAAAACACACTCACGACTGCAGCACCATCATGCCTTCTCTCCTAACCCAGAGCTATCCTAACTTTTATCTTCTCGCAGTTACACAGCCTTCTATGGCTTGAGCCAGAGACACAGTCCCATGCCAGCTCCACACCCCTTCTTCCGAGCATTGTCTGAGATGTCCAGTACATGAACTTCTAGGTCGTGTTGACCTAGCGCACATTTCCTTTTTCTAAGCATGAACAGAGCACACAAACCGTTCACATAAGGCTGAAGCTACAGTGCCTTGCGAAAGTATTCGGCCCCCTTGAACTTTGCGACCTTTTGTCACATTTCAGGCTTCAAACATAAAGATATAAAACTGTAATTTTTTGTGAAGAATCAACAACAAGTGGGACACAATCATGAAGTGGAACGAAATTTATTGGATATTTCAAACTTTTTTAACAAATAAAAAACTGAAAAATTGGGCGTGCAAAATTATTCAGCCCCTTTACTTTCAGTGCAGCAAACTCTCTCCAGAAGTTCAGTGAGGATCTCTGAATGATCCAATGTTGACCTAAATGACTAATGATGATAAATAGAATCCACCTGTGTGTAATCAAGTCTCCGTATAAATGCACCTGCACTGTGATAGTCTCAGAGGTCCGTTTAAAGTGCAGAGAGCATCATGAAGAACAAGGAACACACCAGGCAGGTCCGAGATACTGTTGTGGAGAAGTTTAAAGCCGGATTTGGATACAAAAAGATTTCCCAAGCTTTAAACATCCCAAGGAGCACTGTGCAAGTGATAATATTGAAATGGAAGGAGTATCAGACCACTGCAAATCTACCAAGACCTGGCCGTCCCTCTAAACTTTCAGCTCATACAAGGAGAAGACTGATCAGAGATGCAGCCAAGAGGCCCATGATCACTCTGGATGAACTGCAGAGATCTACAGCTGAGGTGGGAGACTCTGTCCATAGGACAACAATCAGTCGTATACTGCACAAATCTGGCCTTTATGGAAGAGTGGCAAGAAGAAAGCCATTTCTTAAAGATATCCATAAAAAGTGTCGTTTAAAGTTTGCCACAAGCCACCTGGGAGACACACCAAACATGTGGAAGAAGGTGCTCTGGTCAGATGAAACCAAAATCGAACTTTTTGGCAACAATGCAAAACGTTATGTTTGGCGTAAAAGCAACACAGCTCATCACCCTGAACACACCATCCCCACTGTCAAACATGGTGGTGGCAGCATCATGGTTTGGGCCTGCTTTTCTTCAGCAGGGACAGGGAAGATGGTTCAAATTGATGGGAAGATGGATGGAGCCAAATACAGGACCATTCTGGAAGGAAACCTGATGGAGTCTGCAAAAGACCTGAGACTGGGACGGAGATTTGTCTTCCAACAAGACAATGATCCAAAACATAAAGCAAAATCTACAATGGAATGGTTCACAAATAAACATATCCAGGTGTTAGAATGGCCAAGTCAAAGTCCAGACCTGAATCCAATTGAGAATCTGTGGAAAGAACTGAAAACTGCTGTTCACAAACGCTCTCTATCCAACCTCACTGAGCTCGAGCTGTTTTGCAAGGAGGAATGGGCAAAAATTTCCGTCTCTCGATGTGCAAAACTGATAGAGACATACCCCAAGTGACTTACAGCTGTAATCGCAGCAAAAGGTGGCGCTACAAAGTATTAACTTAAGGGGGCTGAATAATTTTGCATGCCCAATTTTTCAGTTTTTTATTTGTTAAAAAAGTTTGACATATCCAATAAATTTCGTTCCACTTCATGATTGTGTCCCACTTGTTGTTGATTCTTCGCAAAAAATTACAGTTTTATATCTTTATGTTTGAAGCCTGAAATGTGGCAAAAGGTCGCAAAGTTCAAGGGGGCCGAATACTTTCGCAAGGCACTGTATGTCCCGATTTAAGGAGGAATTTGCTCTGGATGTTTACCCATAAATTAAACGAGGACACAACCCAAGATATTCTTGCTTGAGCAAGTTCTATGGCACAGACAAATAAGCTGATCCAGGTTTGAGACTGACAGGCATTAACCATGAGTAGAGGCAATTCATTGTTGGTTTTAGTCTCTGTATGTGGAGTACTGAAAATACTATTAATATAGAAGAAGGCTGGCCTTATCCAAAACCCACCGTTTCCCCCTGTGCTCCACTTTAGCATGAGATCTGCAGCATATATTGCCCGGGATGATGGGTAGGGACAGATACCATATGGAGCTGGTCGAGAGGAGGCTGCCTGGAAAAGCTCCCTGAATGCTTTAAACAACTCTGCCTATAAGAGGTAGGAAAAGGAGTCAAAGGAAGAGAAAAGATAACAGAAGGAAAAGACATGATTAAAATAACCTGAATGACACAAGGAGCAACCAGAAGTAGTAAGCCCTTAAAGACATTGTTACCTGTGTACCCACTAAACCACAGTCGGGATCAAAGACAACGTTAATGACTGGGGACCCCAAGGGCTAATAATGGCTCTGTTTGTAATGGGGTGAGTTAAAAGGTATGTATCATAGCCTAGGAACTAAAATTGGAACTATGTTCCTGCAGCTGAATTGTAGGTTTTTTATGCACAGTTCCATAATTCCTTAAGAATTCCTTACAAGTAATTTTCCTAATGCACATTCCTTTGCTTGCTGATATGTACGTACCATATTTTCCGGACTATAAGCCGCTACTTTTGTCGCTTTATGCACACACCCTCATCATGGACAACACACGACAAAATGCATATGGTGCAGCTTTCAAGTTACAGGTGATCGATCTGGCTGTCGAAATATCTCATGTTACAACGTGGACACCTGTGGCTATGTACAAAATGTTTCGTTGTCTTAAATTTAGTGGGTGCAGCTTATATTCCGGTGCGGCTTATAGTCCGAAAATTACAGTACACATTTAGAGCTGCTGTACCAGAGTCAAATTCCTCGTTTGTCCAAAACACCTGGCCAATAAAGCTGATTCTGAAATACTTTACACTTACTTCCACCTCTTTCCATGCGTACTGTGGATACTGCTTCTCAAACATGGGGATGAACTCATCATAATGCACCTAGAAACATAGGGAGAGTGATACAACTTTTTATTACAGGTGACACAGACACCAGAAAACCATATTGATGTTAAACTCAAAAGGCCTCTAAAAAGGAGAAGGCCTGAGAAAAGCCCACATCAAGTAATAATAATAATAAAAAAAAGAGCCCAGAGAAAGGAAAAGCACACTAAGGAAAGAGATGAAACACAAGTCTGGACTGTTCTACAACCAGGGAAACTGAACTTGTCACCGACTACACCACCAGCATTTCTTCCACAGCTGGGGTGACATCTGCAAAAGAAGCTCTGACGCCAAATGGAAAAAGAGGAACAACCCAGAGGGAACGATAAGAGGAGATGGAGGCTATATGGAAAACTGACAAAAATTATTCACCAAAACATACACTATATTTAAGGTTATTCAGTGAATTATATTTCGTTTTTGGATGAGGGGTTAAAATAAGACCTAGCACCAGGGGCTCCATGCTGCAAGCTAGAAACACTACACCAACACCAGTTATGTGCCACTTCTCAGCAGCTCACACCACCCTCATGTGATCAACATACAGAAGATAAACAATGCATTTTATGTTGCAGAGGACAAACGACCATGCTGACTAAGAAGCAGCTCAGCATGGCTCTGCCGCGCATGCCTCAACTCAGCAGGGATGACCCATGCTCATGGAAAAATACCATTTGTCCATGCCACTGTGAGCTATGGTCAGTGTCCTCTGATCTTCCATATCGCACATTAAATAGAGACGAGGCCACAACCCCTACTCATTCCTCCTTCACTCATCATTTGCATTTTTAAATATGCTGGGAGAGCAGAATGAGTCTCTTGCCCTTCCTTTAATCTGTCTGATGATTCTGGTGCCGGCTCTTCCCAAATCTCCTAATGTCTCCAATTAGATATTTTCATTGGCATCTTCACTGTAAATGACCCTACTTCTTCACCATCAAATGATCAAATGCTCACTAGCTCTGTGTGAATATTTCAAGTTCTACGCTATTTTCTCACATAGGCTCATTCAGTCATTACGTGGGCATTGTACTAGGGAGCGGGCAGTGTAAAGTCCACGTCTGGGTCAACTGACTCGGACATTTGCTTTCTCACATACAGCTCCTCCTGGGTAATGTCTAGATAATTTCAGGGTTCCAGTGCTTGTTTGAAAAGGGTTACACATACCTGCTTAAGCTCTGCACCCTCTGCATAATTCATGACGGTGAAGTGCTTTTGGTAATCATCAAAATGGTCCAAGGAGAAAGGTCTAGATAGAAAAAATAAAAGATCAGATCCAGGCAAATCTGGTAAATGAACATAATATTATCTGGTCATGATGCCTTCATTCTTATGTTTGTATGTCAACGCTTATGTTTGAACAAATGCATGCTCGGTGGGAAAAGAGGAAAATTACCATCCCACCTCTATCAACAGTCGGAGAACGAGAGAAAACTTTTTTAAGGGATTCTATTTTCCAGAGGAATGCCTATGATCTTTATGAAGGAACAACTTTTGCACATAACAAAATGCAAAAACTAAATTTACATTAGGTCATAATATTTTAATTGTTCTTTCTCAACCAATTGGCATGTATTTCAGCCACAACTAACATAATGAGCAAGAGGTCAAACAAGAGGTGTTGCAAAAAGAGGACATCCAGCAAGAAACACTGAATGCTAGTCTGCTATAATATGTTGAAGTATTACTCAGGTATTAAGGATACTGATACATGAAGGTGCTATTAATGTGTGTATGTACACTACCAGTCAATAGTTTGGACACACCGTCTTAGTGAACTGAGTGGGAAAGTACGTCCAATCTTTTGACTAGTAGTTTATTTGTATATATGTTGTACCTGTTAGCAAAGCGCAACCAGAAGACATTGTAGGCATAAAGACGCAGAGGCTGCACAGAGCGTAACATCAGCATGTAGCGAATATCGAACTTCACCATTCCCACCTCCTCCCTGTAGAACAACACTGGATCTTCAATGTACTTACACACCACCTGGAAAGCAAAGACACAACCAAAAGCAGAAAGTTATTTGTGTGTGTGGATTTTTTTTTTTAACTAAATAGCTAAATTTACATTGTTGACATTTGGGAAATGCTTGTCGGGTCCTTGGTGAGCATCAGCAACCTGCGGGTACCCGTAGTGCTCCTCTCTACATAGGTGTGCAGAGATTAGTTTCTTCAGAGAGGCAAATTTACAGCATTAGAAAGAAGTAAGCTTAAATAGGCCTGAATAGCCCCTACGAGCATAACATATTTGGAGCACAATGTGACAAAATTTATTTTTAACCACTGCAGGTGGTGACTGACACATTTTCCCCTTGGGGCTTAACATAGCTGTATACCCTCGCTGCTGAGACCATTCAGCACTACAAATCCATAAAAACCCACAAAATTGACTGACCAATAAGCAGTTGGGAGGACATGTAACAAGACCCCTTTTATCTAGGCATTTTGTCTTTCACTCACAAGCTATGACTCAAATCATCTCACTGGAACAGTCTTAGAACAAAAAGAAAATGTATCATGCGATTAATGTATTACATTATTATATAATAAAATTATTATAAATGATTATGGAACAATCCACAGCAAAAGTAACGATGTAAAACTGAGGACAACGCAGTCAGGCTCCAATTGGGAGCACAATATTCAGCATCAGTGCAGTAAAACCCTGTTTTACTGCAGTTAATTTCAAAACTTAATGCCATCATATTACATTTTTATGCATTTATCAAAAGACCCTATACTCTGTCCTTTTGCACAAGATACATTTGCATAGATTTGATACAGCCTATACAAATAGGCATTTTGTATAGGCTGGGTTTGCACAGAATGTAGTCTTCACACTTTTTATACATACAGCTGTGGTTTGGCCGGTAGTTTCCACCAGACACCAACATCTAACTAAAAAAAAGAAAATATATTGCAGTATATCATTTGAAATATTTTAATGTATAAAATATGTAAAGGGAACATGTTTTAAAATGCATCTTAAAGTTTGGACTATAGCTGTGTGTGTGCAGGTGTGTGGCCACGTGAAAGTGAAAAGCCAGATGGTTCCTGTCACGATACAGATTAATTAGTGTATTAAACTTCAGATGGGAAGTGCAACACATCAGTGACTTAACACAGACTTAAAGCAGCATTTTTCCTTTAAGGACACTTTTATTTTGTTAGAAACCGGTAGTGACCGTGATATAATAGTATATTGCTAGGTAGGTCAGAGAGAAAGATGGAATGAATCAAGCCACTGGCATGGAGGAGTTATATAAGACATAAAAGGAATATCTCAAGTTCTGTAGTCGTTCTGCTCCATGGATTGGAAACATGCTATTGGGGTGTTGTTAAATTTTTCCCCAATAAATCTTACACTTTGCAACAGACTGTTTAGACTGAGTGATTTTTGACAGCCGATAAAGAACTGCATGGGTTGTGGACTGGATCCCTGTCTGGTGATGGGGAAAAGTTCCCCCACAAGATCTATATAAGATTTGAACCTTTTAACTTTGAGTAGTTGCTTTGGCAAACCAACTCCTGGTTCTTTTGCATGCCATTATAAAAAGATCTGAAATAAAAAAAAAACCCTCTTTCTGAGCATTTTTCTCTGACAGTAGTAACTTACTGGGTGCCAGTGGTACATGATGTTACAAACAATTCACAGTTTCAAGGTAAATGCTGAACATTGACAGACTCATATTAAACAGACTGAGCAAGTAGCAAGTTTTGATCTAGGGAACTAAAGACCTAACAAGAGAAGAAGAGATGTATTTGTGATGCTTCTTTAGTCAGTCTAATGTGGAGAGGGTCTTAGGCAAGCTCTGTCTCATTGTTGTCTTTTCATACAGTATGTACAGTATGTTGGTACCTTTGGTGTACTCTCTCTCTGTCTGATTATGTAGTCCAGATTGTTGGTGATGTGTGTGTCTAGTCCACGGGCCAGGTTCCAGGGCTTACAGATCCAGTGGTTATCCTCTCCCCTGAAACACACAACCAGACACCTTTAATATAGCCAGTCTGCTGCAGCTTGTCATTTACTGATCAGACCGCCAGCTTACATAAAATCAACTTGTACGCTGTCATATTCAGTGATGACAAAAAATATCAAGTTCCAACCGTTGCTGTCTCAGTTGATAATGTCGGATGAACTGTGGCAGTTCTGTCTGAAGATTGAAGGTCTCGGGTAGCCAATCAGGTGCTGGGCCACCTTTCACTCTGTGGGCCACTGCAGCCAAGCAGTCCTTCACCGTGATGATGCTCTCACAGGGAAATTGATTAAGCATTACATGAGGTCGTTCCTCGCTCAGTTTCCTGTCAGAGAAATGCTTCTTAAATTAATGTCCAATTGGAGCTTCAGAAAAGTCATGGTCTCACAAACAGCAATGAGGACTTGAAACTGAGTCAGATTAAAGTTCAATTTAAATTGGACTTTAACCTTGGTTTGTGACTTAATTTGGACTTGACCTCCAAGACCACCTGAACTAGTTATATTCAAGTCACTAAACCTCAAGTCTGAGTCCTGAACGTTCAAGTCCAAGTCACCAACGACCAGTCTAAGTCGAGTCCAAGTTACCCAAGCTGCCCTCATCATTCATACAATAACCTTCTTAAGTACTGTGTGGAAAACTTGAAAGTCAGTAGCCTACATACTGTAGGCTAATTAAGAAGCTTTAATTTAAGAAAACATAAAATCTATAGGCATCATGTTCCAGAAATTACTGCCAATTACAATTGAACAGAATTAGAGATCAAAAATAAACCTCATTAATTCTACAGGCTAATCTGTCACAGCCACAATTCACTACTTGCTAAAAAATATAGGTCTGTTTGTTCTATTATTAGACTTTCCCGGGGAGGCTGAGGAGTGTGATCCCCCTATAGTTGGAACACACCCTCCGGTCCCCCTTCTTAAAAAGAGGGACCACCACCCCGGTCTGCCAGTCCAGAGGCACTGTCCCCAACCG